CTTCAAATTGAAAAACTTTCCAACAGCTGCCCCACAGATCGATTGGTCCCAGAGTTGGATGTCCCGCTGTCGCCACCTGTTGTCGGGAGATCGCTAGTCAGCAGGAACATCGGAATGGAATAGTAAGGCAGAAAAAAGACAGAATGCAATAAAGAAAAGTCAAATCCAAAACAGTCTTCCAGCAGAGATGCCAATTCAAGCCGTTTTTTTGTTGTTTCCTGTTTTTCTGCCACAATAGTGGGAAACCCGAGAAATTTCCAATTATGTAGCGGCTGTTCGTAGCTGGCTTTTGAAAATTGAACAACGTCAACGGTGCCTTGGTACCCAGGTACCAGGTGCCAGGTGCCTGGCAAATGGTTCGAATGAAGCCAGAAGCTCAGTCGAAAAATGTGCTCCACTCTCCCAATCCCAATCTCCATCTGAATCTGCGCCGATAGCTGTCCCTGTGCCTGTGGATGTTTCTGTGCCTGTCCAATGACAAGTCCACTGTCCACTCCCCAACCTGAAGTCCATGCACAGGTCAAGATTCTGACCACGGCGAGAAGAGGTATCGGTGGGAATGGACCGGCCAGCAGTCAGCAGCCACCAGCTACCAGGCCTTCGAGGCCACCGAGAAAAGGGCGTTGACAAGCGACAGGCATAAAAGTCAGAAACATTCTCTGCTCCAATCCACTTGACTGCACTCCGCTCCAGACCGTGTGCGGTGCCTGTGCCTGGGCCTGGGCCTGGGCCTGTGCCTCCCCAGTGACAATTGGCCAGGCATTGGAATTATGCGAGCACCAAGGAAAAGCATCCCACGATCCAGTGTACACTGCTGTCCATTCCTTTTATGCCTCGTCGACTGTCCCGTGTCCACAATATCCTGCTCGAAGGCTGGTTGCCAGGGATGTGAAGTGCGAAGAAAATACCGCGTAAAGACAGAGAAATGGCGTATTTTTTGTTTTGATTCATTTCGAGAAGAGTTATTTTGAGCAGAGTGGATGCATTTGTTCTGCAATGATCTGGATTGGGTGACCAGAACGAAATGAGGTTCAGTTTTCTAAAGGATTTAAGGCTAATAGTTACGATGGTATGGGCATAAACATGAGCAGAAGAAAACAGTCAAACAATTGAGCTGAATCTGAAATTGGTCTTATACGAGTAAGTGACGGAAGCGCAATGAGAGTAACAGGGACTGGTCGACTGGTGGGGTTTGCCCCACTCCCGTCTATCCATACATAATACATAATACACAGATACGCCACTGCACGCACAACCACACAACAAACACTCATTGTTCTGGGCTCATTGTGAAACATTCGGACGATTTGGTAATTGGAAAATGTTACAAATTTTTGCAGATTAACAGCGGCAATAAAGACAGAGCCCCCGAATGTGTGTGTGTCTGTGCACGAGTACTCATATCTATGTATGCGGCAAGCAAACAATCAAATACAGACTTTCACCCACACCGCACCGCACCACCCTACTTTGCCCTCATTTCACGCACACACACAAACACTTGTTGAAAAATCATAAAAATTTTATGTACTTAAAATTCTCGTACAGCCGCCAAACAATGCCCAACATCAACAGCAATATCAACAGCAGAAGAGCAGAAGAGCAGAATACGAACATAAAACATAATAAAAATCCCCAACAAAAAATAAGAGAACGGGAGAAAATGTTCAGAAAATTGCCAACAAGTTTGGGCCAAACAAAAAACCTGGCCAGACTGCCAGTCAAATTTGTTTAAATGCAATTTTGCGGCTCTTCTGGATTGCTGCTCAAGCTCCTTCTCCTTCTTCAGGTTCTGTTTTTGTTTTTTTTTTCTTTTTTTTTTTTGGTGGGGGCTAAACGTACATATATGCCATCGAAGTTTTTGAGAGATTATTTGCCTTGGAGATTGAGGCTAAGAGAAGTCCAATTGAAATTTCAAATAAAGTGCGAAATGAAGCAGAGCTTAAGATGAATGTCAGAGCAGCCGGGCAAGAGGGAAGCAGTGCCAGCGAAGCTGTTCTGCTGGCCAGTCTTTGGTCTGGTTGAGCAATGGCATTTACTCGGTTATTGGAACTGAGACTGCGGCATGACACGGCTTGCACTTCAGACGGATTCCAGTCTGAAGGACGAATATAATGTACACTTGAAAAGCTTTGTAGCTTTATATTTGAAAAGAAGTTATTTCTTTAAAAGCAATTTAGCAAAAAACACTGTTTGTACGAGTTCCTACCTATACATGAACTTTAGAATACAATACGTATAGAATATCGAACGACGAGCAGAAGATATCAAGATGTCCTTTCTGTTTGTCTGTCTATCTCTAAATTAAAAAGTGCAATTAATTTTGCTGTGGATGGAGGAATAAAAATCAATTGAGATACCATTCAGAGCCCTTGACAACAGAAAGAAAAAAACTGAACGAAAAGAAAAATGAACTATGGACTCATCCACCGATGGCTGTCATTCGATTAATTGTACTACTCAGAAGGCGCTTGCTTGATATTTAAAAGAATTTTGTGCTAATTGTTATTGGAGGGGAATAGTTTGGATTTTGAATAGTACCTAATGTGTACTAGAATGATTATTAGCATAAACATTAAGGGTTAACTGCCCCAGTAGGTGTTCTTTATGGCGTCGTGTTCGGCTTGGGAAAGGCTGTTTCTAAGGCTAATTGGTCGCCAACAGGCACGACATTCCGCTCTTTGACTCCCTCCCAGTCATGAGTGGGGAGTATCAGTATCGTGCACGGTCCGCATAAATCTCGTGGGCGACTGAGACTGGGGCTGGGGCAACCGGATTCCGGTGCGTGCGTGCCGTCGATCGGGGGCTGGTGATAGCGGTCTAAATGCAAGTTCCATTCGCTAATTGTTCGCCATGTTTTGCGCTGACAATTCGCTTTTAGCCAATTTATTCATGCAGCAAGCACTCACGAGAATGTCACGAGATGGGGAGGCGGATGGAATGACGATGATGGTGATGATGAGACGCTGCTAATTAATTAATTAGCCCACTCCCATTCCCACTCCCCACTACCACTGCTTCTACTGCCCCTCTCCTTTCAAAAAGAGGGGGCGTGGCCAGTGAGTGGTTTCGTGATTTATGATAAAAACACTTTCTCTTTACCATTTTTTTCCACTTTTCGCTCTTTCTTGCTGTCTGGTTTCCTTTGTAATTTCTGCGATTTGGTGAAAATGTTTTCCTTCTGGCGTCTCCAACACGCAAAAATGACATTTTTATTGTTGGTATTTTGCATGGTCTGAAGAGAGAGGGGGACATGATGAGGGGCTGTAGTGGCTGTAGTGGCTGTAGAGGCTGTAGAGGCTGTAGGGGTGTCCTATCATCATTAGGCTCTCCCATTCGTTAGGACAGCAGCAGCAGCAGCGTGAGGCGCGTGCATCAGGTTGCAAAAGGGTCGAGAAAACCAAAGGGGAGCGGCACAAAAACAGAGCAGATCGGGGGAGTGGGGACAGGGCCTGGCCTTAAGGTGGCCCGTGTTGACGATGCTAATTAGCCTCCACTTCGTCATTGTCCTCGGCTGTCCTCAGCTGTGGCCCGTGCGATTGGCCCGAAGGACAGAAAGCCCGGCCGGCAACTCTTGTTCTTTATAGACAGACGAGAAGACAAACAGAAAGGCGAGCGGACAAATGAAGAGATGGACTGGCGGACCGACAGCACAAACAGAGAGTCGGACTGACGGACATCTTGATGAAAAAATTAAGAAAAGTGAAGGAAGAGTTTGAGACACACAGATTGACGGACAAAAGGCAGAGGCAGCACAGAAATTCGAACAGATCAAGAACGGAGTGACAGACAGTCAACGAATAATCGACAAGGATGGAAAAGTTACTGATCGATTATTAGTCTCGACTGTCACCTACCAAAAAAAAAAGAGAAAAGCAAAGGGAAAATTCGATTCTTTCGTACGATTCCTGCACCATCTAAAAATCGGTGTGTTTATCCATAGAATTGGGTTTCCAATTATTGTCCCATTCCCCAGCCAGCTGTGAGTGGAGTGGGGGATCCTTTGTTCATTGGCAATGTCTCGAAAAGTTTTCTCCTTCCAGCATCCACTCGCACCCACCCCTCTTCATCCATTCTTTCCTCTTGGTTGTGGATTGTCTTTAAAATATTTTTGGAGCAATGTTCCTAAAAATACACAGCAAATGGGCCGCAACTGAACAAGAGCAGACCAACCACAGGCCCGTCAAGGCTTGGCATGGCATGGGACTGTTCCTCAAGACAAGTCGAGGGAAAACAGGGTAACAGAGAAACAAGGCAACGGGAAACACAAAGCAGCCACGCACCATAATGTGCTTGAGTGGGTGAATATATCTGTGTGGTGTGTGTGTATCTGTGGATGTGCCAAGGAAAAATAAACAAAAGCTCTGCTCGGCCATTGTTTGCTTAGGCATGTACTCACACAAATACACACGCGCACTCACACGCGCACGCACATGTACACACACACGCTGGCAGTTGGAGAAGGAGGATGAAAATTCATAATTCCACACTGCGTGCAGGTTCTTTTTGTTCACTTCTCAGTGGCCACATTGCGTCTACGTAATGCGGTCTGTGCTCCTTGCCGACTACATTACGTATACGTAATGGAATCTTTGCTCCTCAGTGACCACAGCGCCTAATCGTCCTGCCTGCCTACGCTCCTTACAGCGCAGCCACAAATCATATTGCAGAAATTGTATGAATAATAATAACCAACGAAAATTGGTCTTCAAGTGAAACGAAATCAAATTAGACAAAAGTTCTGATGACTTTTTGCGTCCAGCCTCTGGAACGGGAACGGGAGGCTCACCCACCGCAACGGCGGCAACAATCGGGGAACAGAAAGCAGAATAAGCAGACCGCAGACGAGCACCGAACCGAGCGACCACCACCACCCAGTGGAGAGAGCACAGGGGAGACCCCATAGGAGAAGGCCGACAATTTGTCAATTGACGCGCATCCAGGCGCTGGCAGGTCCTTCCGCCCGGCTAACCCTCAATGCCAACCCTAGAAATGCCAAGTCAATTTTCATAGAAATTTTACTGCAGTCCATCATACTACTGGCCCCGCCCCAGTGCCGCCCCCGGGCACGGTTTCGTTGTATCCTTTGGAACGGTCTTTAGAGCTTTTTGAGTCCATCTGGCTGGAATAAATACATTTTCAGCGTCAAGTTGCCGCCTCTTCCTCTGCTTTCGGCCCTCTGTCCGGGTCCGGGTCCTGGTCCTACTCCTGGTCCTGCTCCCGGTCCTGGCTTGTCTGGTCTGGTCTGGTCCTGTCCCGGCTGACTGCCTAGGCAATGATCATCGCCAGGCGGTCAAAGAGTTGTTGGTCAGGTAGGGCACTCCTCGGTGTTGTCCACTCCTGTATCTAATTGAAAGCACTTTCTGAAGGGCTCCTTTTGTGCTTGGTGCCCGGTAAATCGTATTGATGGACTTGACACCAGAGCGGGGCAGAGTATGGATAGAAGACAGGAACAGTAACAAGTAATTCTAGGCTTCGGGGGACAATGAATCAGCATCGGCCGATTGCAAGTCCTTCTCCAGCTGCAGTTTTAGCTCCTCGTTATCCATCTGCTCTTGAAGTTCGTCCGCTATCTGTTGGAGCGTCTTGCCTTCAGTCTCCGGCTGCTCGTCACGGGAATCCCATGGATCCGTGGCCCAAGCTGCACTCAGCGAGAAGCCCGCAGCTATCGATGTGATCAAAGTTCCCACAATAATCGTCTCGTGCTGAAGGTAATACTCCTCAACCTCTCCGCCGTAGTAGCACATCGCGGTCTTCAGGCACAGGCAGATATTGGCCACAATTCTGGACCAAAAGAACAGAGCCAGAGCCTCCATGATGAAAATACTTAGCACCACCTCGATAACGAAGCTGGAAAGCCGGCCCATGCGGCGCTTGTAGTGCTTCGGCAGCAGCTCCATATCCTGAAGGAAGTACAGTAGGCCGCAGTACACTATCCAGCCAGCGAAGAAGGTCCCAGGCACCAGGACGTAATCCATGGCCACGAATACACTGCACTGAAGCCCCACATGTAGCATTGTTGTGGCCAGAATCACCAAATTCGAAACCATGATTGATGCGAAACGGATTTATGGCTTTTTCGATAATGAAAACAAAGTGACAAAACTGCCGAATAAATGCTCGTTAATTTGCTTAAAAATATTTTGTAGTGCCGAAAAATGTTTGTGCTGTAGTCAAGTCAAGCTACTGAATGAGATGTGTACGGTCTCCTATCTTTAAAACAAACTGAAATTCTATGAGCTCGGATAACTCTATGCTTATATGATTTGACCGAATACTACAAAAATGTTGTCGTTTCTGATAGAATGACAAGTACCGCTTGAATTTCTCATTCTCGTCTGACAATTTCACAATTGACAAAAAAATCGCAAAAAAATACGGATACCTTACGATGAAAAATGTTCCCAGGCTTAGGTCTGTCGATGGCTGTCGTTATCTGACATCTTTTGGGCCACCTTTTGGGTCAGTTAATTCGGTTAACCGCATTGGTTTTACCACCCTCGGTCACGCCTTTTCTCGGTTAACACCGCCGCCCATCGCCAGCCCCAGCCCCACCTGACTGGGGGTAATTAGAGCTCGAAAATTTCCAATTAATTCCAATTCCAATTCCAAATTCGCAAATGGCAAACAATTTGCATGCATTTTGCAGTCGGCCAGGCCAACTCATTAGTTCTCATCCACACAGCCCCTGCCCGACACCGACCCTGGACTCCGGACACCCGGACACCGGCACCGTCCCCGGCTCCCTAATCCCTTGTCACGCCCATTTATGTTCATAAATTATGCAGTCAACCTCTGATGCTCATTGACCCAAAAGGCAGCCCTCTCCTAGGCCACGTCTTTGGGGCAGCTGTCGAAATGTTATTTCATTCCTTTTTTCCTCATTTTTTGCCGCTTTTTCTGCTGGGTTTTTGGCTCGGCTGGACGGCTGGAGAAAACCGTTTGATCCCTTCCGGCTTAGCCGGGACTAAAAGTAGAGCAGGACGAAAATAAAATTAAAAAAACACACACACACACAAAAACAGGCAAGTAGGGGGGCAAGTCAGCGACAGAGACAACTTTAAATTTATTACAAAACCCGATAAAAGCCAAAGCCAAGCCCAGCCAAAGACAAAATTATTTATTTGCCTTTAACTTTGCTGCTGCTTTTCTTTTTTCGGTTCCCTTTTTCTGTTTTTCTTTTTGGGATGGGAAGGGAGGGAAGGGAAGGACGGGCAGGGCAGAGCAATCAAAAAAAGCAAAATCTGTAGAGGAGGAGGAGGAGGCCAAATAGTCGACACAGCATAAACCAAAGTTTATTTATTTGATATGCACAGAATCTAGGGATAGACAGTGAGCATGGGTCCAGGGGGAGGCAGGGGCAGGACCAGGAGCAGGCGAGTGCCAGGCAATCGAGAGCATCCTGGCCATTTTGGTAAATTTTTTTTTGGAAAAACATTTAGCGACAGTCTTGAGCACTGCGAAAAAATACGTTCTAGAATCTGGAAATGCACTTAAAATCGTGAGAAGCAAAAACGTTCGAGGACATTGTTTCATTGGAATATTTTTAAAGCAAACCATCAATGCAACCTGTAGATATTTCTAAAGCATTTCTAAGGACATTCCCATTGAAGAACATTCATAACCCACGTAATTCGGTAATCGATATCGATGGAGATCTCATATTTGCTATGAAATTACTTTAATGTGTGACAACTGCCGTAATGGAAATGCGTCGAGAATTGTTTAAGGCGACTTAGGGAAGTTCCAGCCTAACTCAGGGACTGCAAATTTTGCCTCAGTGATGCTGGGGTGCGGGTGCTGGCTTTGACTGAAAAGCCGCCTGGCGTTTACCATCCTCTTTACCCTCTCCCTTTTCTGCATCCCTGTATATCGACGCAGTATCACCCCCAAGTCGATGTTTGTCTGAGGGTTTCCTCCAGTCCATTGAAAGTTTTGTTTTTGTCGCATCGGGCACGTACAATGGACTTGGACCCCATCACATATACGAGTATTCCCCATGTAGTATGTCACACACACACACAAATCGTGTGTGGCATGTGGGGCAAGTTTTGCTCTATTTGCCTATGTAGATTTCGACCAACAGTTCACATTTATTTGGGTCCTCTTCCCCGCTGCTTTTACTTTCGCTGTTGTTAGGCAAACAACAATAAGAGCAGAAAGTCAAATTTGGCAGGGGAAAAGCAGAACAGGAGAACGGGGGCACAGGGGAACAGGCAGAATAGGAGTGCAAAAAGGGGAGAAAGGGGTCTGGGAGATACGCCAGATCGGGCTTATATAAAATATGAGATATTCGTCCCTTCAGTTTGTGCACTCTCTCTATCTCTATCTCTATCTCTCTCTTTCACTTTCTGTTTCTCTTTTTACAGCCTGGCTTGGGTTTTTATTTTTCATATATAAATATGTTAAATTCATGATATTTAAATTAGTTAGCCAACAGTTTGTCCTTGGTCCCTCTGGGGATGGCTCTGGCTCCCCCAGCAAAAGTCTCCAACCCGCTGGTGCCCAAAAAAGTAGGCAACACAAAGGGCAACCCAAGCTGCTGCTCCTGCTCCTACTGCTGCCTGCACTGGCCGAACATTCAATTATGAGGCTGGCCTGAAAGCTTAGAATCTCTGTCTCTGCTTCCTTCTCTGTCTCTAGCTCATCTGCCATTAGCATTTCGAATGCCAAACATGACAGAGAGACATAGAAGGAGATGGAGAGAGAGCGAGAGCGAAAGCGAGAGATCTCTCATCGGGCAGCAAACTTTTGCCATTTGCCTGCGAGCAGCAGCAGCAGCAAACGACAAACGACAAAGGGCACAGCAAACAGCAAACAGGGAAACTTTTGCCATCATATATCTTGTCAGGGACCGATATGTGCGAGTGCTGCATATATTATAGCTATCTCTTTTTCCTCCCCTTTGCCATATCTGTCTTCCTCTTTCTCTCATTCTTTGGAAAACTGCGTGGCTGGTCAAGTAAATGAGTTTTCCTGTGGCTTTTTCACTTTTGTGTCTGCGTGTGTGTGTTTGTTCTTTGGTTAGACTTTGCCATTTGACAGATCAAAGACCAACTAATACACAAGTACACACACACACACATAGAGACACATAGAACCACACACGGACATGGATCGGATGCTGGAAAGGAAATTGATATTTAATTAAAGTTCCATAGCTCTTGCTGGGAGTTTTCTTATTCTATTATTTGATTTTCACCTTTTTTGCCTCTTGCCTTGTCTTCTGTTTTTCCATTCGAGTCCAGCCAATTTGCTGTCAAAAGCAAGTTGAAACTCGCATAATGCCGATATGATGCTATGGTAATAAAAAAGGACTTTAGAATATTTGCTTGCTCCCTTTCATCAGAGAATGCATGGAGTTCCCTCCAGAAATAAACACAGATGGGAATAGCTTTTGCTGCTTCCTTATAGCTCTGATAGATCAATAGAGCATTGATGGACTGCTGGACCCTATTAGCATTTTTCTGTTGAAGGATGGAATCTAGGCAATCGAAGCAGCTCCATGGAAAGCTTAACTCAAAGCGAAACTCTTTAAGATTGCACTTAAATCTGTTCAACGGCACTAGGAAAATCCAAGGCTCATACATAGGTGCTCTTGAAGCTGCTGGAGGAGCTACACAAGAGTCTACAGAAGCAACCAGAGTAGATACTGCTTCTGGAGAGGCCTCAGATGGAGCTGACGGAGGAACGCTCTGCGTTCAGGAGCCTATCTGGGGCAGGAGCTGGTCGCGGAAGCTGGAGACAAACTTTATGACTTTTATCTACGCGCAAGTTTCGAACCACCCAAATGAGTCGAAGAGTCGAGGCACCACCCTCCACCTCACCCAGTACCAACAAAAAACAAACCCCTCCTCCCATCAGTTTGAGTTTTTAAACACGGGCCCACGGCCAAATGCATAAATATTTTCATCCCCGCCATCACCCCCACCATTACTCTCACCTTCACCATCACTCGCATCCACTGCCACCCGCTGTCCGTATCCGTGTCAGTGTCCGTGTCCGCCTCCGTTTCCTACTCTGCCGCGTGAAAAACTGAAACATGGCCATTTTTCATATAAATTTATTTGGGAGGCTGGTCGTGTTTTTTGGCTAAAAGGAGGGGTGGCATGCTCGACATTTGCATATTTGCAGCAAAGCAGCGCAAGGCAACGCAACGCAAAAGTGTCATAAAAACTCTACAGTTGAAAGAAATGAAGTCAAACAGCAGCAACAGGGGGACTGCGCAGAGAGCGAGCGATGGGTGGACCGGCACACAGTCTGGACAGATAAATATATAGGCAATAAAAATGTTCTACGAGTACAACAGCAACTGCCACGACGACGGTCAGGACAGCCTAGAAAACCGAGGAGTGGACAGAAAGCGGACGATGACGATGACGATGACGAGGACGAGGACCAGCCAAAACTCGAAACTTGGAAAAGTTTCAGCGATAAAGCCCATAAAGGGCATGGGTCTCTGGGGGAGTTGTTCCAATTTGTAGTATCCTGGAAGCACTGGAAAATCATCAAATCATTGCTTCTCGATAATGTAATGATCAGTTCTAAAGATAAAGAATCTTATCTTATCTGATCAAGACCTTCTGTTTCACTATGTTCTTTGCGATAGTCAAAGGCTTGCGGAATTGACGAACAGTGCAGCCAAAACAAAGTCCGTAATATTTTTACACAATCATCAACGTAACGCCAAAATCGATGGCTCCGTGCCATCATCACTTCCATCATCAAATCCATCCGAAACGTTTATTTGCGAAATGGAAATCTGTGATAAATAAGCACCAGTTGTTGTCCGCTATTCGGTATTCCCTTTTTTGTGTCCGCTGTCCGCTGTGTGTACGTATATTTTCATTCTGTTGGCAATGTTTTGTTAAATCATTTTTGTTGCATTTTCTATTTGGTCTTTTTTCCTGGATTTTTGCATAATGAAATTGGGAAACGACACACAAAGTGAGACGCGATGCCGACATCATCGAGTTACAAATTCGTTTACGTTTCTCGACTCCAGGCCCAGTTATGGCGCTCTCTTTATCGCTTGCCGATGAGCAACGGCAGCCCAGGGTTTTCGTATGTTTTTCTCACTCAATTTTTCTCGCTTTTTTTTATCCACTTTTTGTGTATGTATAGGGGCTTTGTTTTTCGTGGCAGATTGCGTCAGATATTAAATTTATTTACGCGAAATTCGCACTTCGGGCGCTCTCATATTGCACAAGGACCAGGACAGGACAACGTTCAGCAGCAGCAACAGTGGAACCAATAGAGAAATTGGGAAGATGAGAAGTGGCTCTGGTAGGCCACAGATACTCCTCGGATACGACTACTCTGGCTTAGACGGGGAGCGTCTTTTTCTCGGGAATTTCTTCAATGACAGCCAAATGATATAGAGCCAAAGTTTGTCTTTACAGAAATAGCAAAGAGCTCCCCCAATTCGCTATAAATATCCGTCTTTCATAAACAGCCGAGACTTTTCAGAGTCTGCTATAAATATCCTCTCCGCCTTTCAGAGGCTCAAAAGTTTCGCTCACTCTGTCAGCCATTACGGATGGCCCAAGAAAAGAATTTTGAATTCTAAATTCGAAATTCTGAATGAAGTTAGCCTAATTTGATTTCCTTTGGCATAATAATCCAATCCAATGGTGAAAAATAATGCATAAATCAAAGATTTCTGCGAGGACTGAGTGTTTTAAGAAAAGTGAATGCTAAACTGATTGGATCCTGACTCTTATCTCTCCTATCGCATTTCCAACCTATTAAGAGGCTCACAGAAGGTAACCCTAAGCAAAGGAAAAGCGGTTCCCTTCTATTTTTCTCCGATTTGTCGACTTTTTCATGCTATTCGACCATTTCTTGGTGGTGTTGCGTCCACGCGGATTGCAAACCAGCATCCATGGAAAGCGGGATTATGTTTCAATTAGGCAATGGCCGAGACCCCAACCAAAAGAGCTCAGGGATGGGATCAGACTTGTTAGTCGCTTTCGACGCTATAGCAGCTGTACCTAGCACCAGCCCCTTGCCCCAGCCCCAGCCCCAGCCCCAGCCCGAGCCCAAGCCCACCACCGAAGTCGTGGATCATCCATTGAGCTCCCCAAAAAAAAAAGAGGAGTTAAAGATTCATGGGCTGAAATTAATTGGTTGGGGCTGTACGACATCGGAATTTAAATGTTTCCATTGGATCGCTTAATTTATGACTGCCACGGGCTGCATCAAATATTTAAAAACCGACAAAAACTCGAAACGGCGAATATGATATGCATAAATACGCGTACGACGACGAGAATATCCATGCCGGGACATGCAGGATGTACAGCATGCCACATGGTGGGGCATAAAAAACGAAACCAGCAAATGGGAGGAGCTGGAGCTAAAGCTTATGCTGGAGCTCCACAGGGTAGTGCAACACATGGGCATAAAATCTAAGAACAAGTTGAGCTTGAAGTGACGTGAGTAGCTCTCTCTTCCCCACCAGCTGTCAGTCCCCATCCCCATCCCCATCCCAGACCTCCTCCTGGGGGAGGGAACGTGGAAGCCTGTCAGAGCAGGCTTTAGTGGAAAGTGCCTGTCAGATCTGTTTGCAATTTTTATGATGACTGCCCGGACTGCCATAAACTGAAGAATTCCATTTGCTTGTTGCTCTCTTTGCAGACTAAATACTTTGGCATTACTTACTTGGATTCGATAGAGGGAACAGCGTCGATACTGAGTGCCGACCACGGACAATAGGATTCGGTAAGAAAACAACTTAAGTATTCAAGGAATCCTTGGGCATCCTTTTGATAGCCGCAGAGCCGCCGCCTCGGAGGAGCAGATAGAAGGATGGACGGATGAATGAATGGGTTCTGACCGGCGGCCAATGTTCCGTGGGGGTTAATTAAAATACGGAATACACTTTGACAAAATGCCATTTAATCTACTCAGAAAAGCAGAAAACCCGAAAAAAGCATCCGGCAAATTAATTATGCGCATATTTGTGGCCTCACCAACAACGCCATCGACAACGAGAACAACGACATCGAAAAAAAAAAGAGAATATCAGTCGAAAAAGAAAAGGGAAATCAAAATAACAAGGAAAAGAACAGGAAAAAGAACAGGGAAAAGAAAAAGGTTCATTGTGATTTGCATTTTCCTGCTGCTCTCGTCTGCCATTTATGACAGATTTCTGTTAAAGGTCCTCCCACACCCCCCCGCCGAAAAGCCCGAAACACCGAAACCCCGCTGCCAGGCAACCGTCTAATGCGATGGGCGGTGGGTGTTGGGTGTTGGACGATAAGAGATGCCCCAGGGCGGGGCCCTGGCACCCCCCATCTATTAATTACAACAACAATCTACTACTAATCAGCTGCCACCAGAAGAGGAAGGAAGCGAGTGGCAGAGGCAGAGGCAGAGGCAGTGGCAGGGGCAGAGGCTAAGGTCGGGATTAAATCGTCTTCGGTGTTAAATGAGCCGCTGAGTCGCATAAATTCCCAAATGGTGACTGTACTTTTTGGTTCGAAAAAAGGTAGTATCAGGCGGCCGTGGTGAAAAGGGGGATTGAAGTACGAGGAAGGGCTTTGCCAGATGGGAACATAGAATCGTAAGAGGATGATTATGAATTTCAAGTATTGCATATATATTCACTGCAGAAGAAGGAGCTTCAGGTGTTAAATAAGTGTCAAACAAAATGGTATTTTAGTTATTTATTGAGTGCCAATTAGTTGTGCACTGCTGAATGCTGTATAATACTTGAGTACTGCCCTAATGTTCTTAAAGTCAATTTATTTACAAGTAAACAGTTCAAGCCCGCCCGCTCTCCTACACACATCAATAATAATAACAAGGCAGCCTCTTTTCCGCCCCATCTTTACCTCCCCCCGAGAATATATCAATTAGCTGATGCCTTATTAATTCACAACTCAATTCCATTTACTCGATTCAATAAACGAGAGTCGAGTCGAGTACTTACATATAGCCGTAGCCGTACCGATATCAAATATTGATGTTGCGTTAATTGCCTCGCTGGATGCGTGGTAGATCGGCTGGCTTCTGCATTATTAAATCAGCTTGAGCAACTAATCAAACTTATGCAATTATCGCCGCTGCTTATTCAATCTAATGCGAATTTATCTGCAAGGCTGGCAGTCAACCAGCAGAACAACCAGAACAATGGCTAAAGCAATACTGCGAGAACAACAACAAAGCAACACTAAATCCGACAGCAAAAAACTCCAATTAAATTCGGAGCCCCCACACCACACCACACCGCCCCGCCCCACCCCAAGGGGGGAAACTGTACGCTCTGCCAAACGAGCGGTTTTTGGGTAGGTGGTTTTTTGGTGCAAAAACCATACAAATGATTCTTGTACGCAGCATACTGTAAGGGGATGGGGTGTTCATTTTCATTTTCATTCTCCACACTTTGCCGCACTTTTCCCACTCGATGAAATGAAATGAAATTTGCACAAAAATCTCTAATTGCATTTTTTTTGTTGCCGTTTCCGCTGCTGTTGTTAAATGGAAAATGTTGTGCATACTTTGGCCAACAAATTTGGATTTCAGTTTGCAGAGCGGATCAACGGAGTAGCATGTACCGCACATAATTGAAGATAAACATGCGCAGAAATACAGCTACTATACAGGATGGATATGCCTCATAATGCTAATGAACAGCCCTATAACAGCTTATAAAATACCACTTATAACACTTGTACATCTACGTACATCAAGTACATCTACGAGTAGTACTCGTACTCGTATTTGTGGCTTGTTAGCGGAAGTTTTACATTTGTTGTAAAATGGGATTTCATTATAAATGAATTATAAATTCATCATGGAACCGTCAGCATATGCAAATATCTACTACTGTATTGCTTTATATGTATGACTAGTTTTCTTCTAAATCCTATTCTTGACAGAATCTGGAAGCACTTATTCCACTTGGAAGCACATCCATGAATCAGCTTCTTACAGCAGAACTCGTCAAATGTGGTTGTGGTCATAGAACAGGGCGATTGAATAGCAGTCGTATGGAAGTCATTGAAAATGGCTTTTAAAATGTATAAATTTGCGGAAGAAAGATATATTTGAGAGTGTTAAACAATTTGCTACTCAATTTCGGTATCAAAAGAATTGTATAGCAGCCTTCCAGTACTCGTATTTGAACAGCATCCAAATTCTCACCGAAATGATTCAATTGCTGGCAGGACGGCAGAATGGCAGGAGCACTCTCCTCAGTGCCACGTACCATACAAATGCAAATTCGCATACAAGTCGATAGATGTTGGTAGATGGAGCAAAAGCAGAGAGATTCCGCCAGAGTTGGGCGGTGGAAAAAAAGCGCGAAATTAATATTTGAGTACGCTTGGACAACGGACAGAAGACGGAGAACGTAGGACGTAGGACGTAGGACGGAGGGCGGAGGACTTTGGTCCGCGGCAATAATAATAATAATAACTCACACAAATAAATATTGAAATGGAAAAATCGCTGGCCATATCAATGCTGCTACAGGCTGGGGGCGCAGTGCGGCTGGACGGGGTAGCACAGTGGGCCGTGTACGGGCCGAAAAATGAAAAGAGAGCTGAGGGAAATAAACAAAGCCAAAATGAAATGAACTGTAATCAATTCTGAGTTCGAGAGAAGAGACCCTGGAAGAGCGAGAGCCAGTTCGAGATGTGGCAGCAACGATAATATCCCAAGCAATTTATGGTCAGGTCCTTCCGCCCTGAACAGCCAAGCCAATTATTAACATTTTTGCTGGAAAAAAAAACAACAAGTCGAAAAGAATAAATATGTAGGTATATAAATATAAATGAAATAAAACTTGACCCGAACCGCAAAGGTAAACGAGAAATATTAACCTTCGGGGTTGGGTGTCGGGGTTTGGGCAAGGCAGGTGGAACATGGCCCATACCATATCCAGAGAGAAAGAATATATATAATATAATATTTTTGCTTTGACCAGCCTGCTGTTAGCACACTTACGTTTTCTTATTTTTTTGTTCCTCTCTTTGGGCGTTTCTCTTCTTTTTTTGATGGTTTTTTTTTTTTTAATTTTTAATGCCTTTTGTAAAAGTTCTTTTCGTCCGTGTTTTGTTCGTTTTTTGCTTTTTAACGATTCAACTTTTTGTTGGCTTTGGCGTGGCATGGCCGATTTTTCTTTTTAATTTGGCATCGCCAGTGAAATTTATGAAATTTCGTACAGTTGCCGATACCAGTGGGAGTGGGAGTCTGGGAGCGGTAGAGCTCCTCTTCATCCTCGTTCTCTTTCTCGTTCTCGTTCTCGTTCTAGCTCTCGTCCCGCTCTTGGTGCAGCTGCAGAAATCTGAATAATAATAACCAAACGAAAAGTATCTTGTGGTCTGTGGCTTTTTCTGCATTTCTATGCACCAACTGGTAATTAATTTCCACGTTCAACACTGCCCAGTGCCCAGAGCCTATATACATGCATATGTACATAGTGCATGTATATATTACGTGTATATATGTATATCTTCCGGGCAGGTGGAGAAGTCCTGGCGTACAGTCGCCTTGTGCGGCGCGTTTTTGGCAGGGGTATGCCGCAGCAGCAGCAGCACACTTTATCAATTTTATGTCGACTATAATTGCATTAAATTGAGTTGCTGCACTTCTCTCTCTCTCTCTCTCTCTCTCTGTGTAACACAGCTCTTCCTGGTCGGATAGTATGTTCATATATTGTCCATATATTTACATGACCATATTAAAAATATTCCGGCAAATGGACAGCAGCAGCCTGCAGTCGTAGTTACAGGTCGACTAGAAGATACCCTGGTGCAGTTTTTGGACTCGATTCTGCACAGCATTCTGCGATATATTAACGAAAAGTTGTAAAGCGGTTTTCCTTGGTGACCATTGCCGGATAAGCCAGACAGACTCTCATTAAAGCAATCAGAGGAGAAACGCAAAGGAGAATTCCAAGACTCCGGTTTAAAGAATGGGATGATGCCCAGAAGGCTGTTCTCACAAACACACACACACACAGTCAGAGGCAGGAAATGAAATTATTGATTCAGGAACAAGGTGGAAGAGAGAGAGAGAGAGAGAGAGAGAGAGAGGGAGAGAGACAGAGGGAGACATCAGCACAGACATTGAGGGACATGACACCGTATGAAAATCTGACAACAGACGAGGAAATAAGAAATTGAATGCCTCGACATGCTTGAACGCGTCAACTGGAACATGAAAATGAAAGGCAGACACACACACACAAACACACGCAAGCATCCAAAGAGTGGGGCACGCCACACACTCACGAATTATTCCCACAAAATCCCAGGAAGAACCAATGCAGCTGATGCCCGCTGCCAGGAGTCGTTGTCGTTCTGTACTCTTCTGTTCCATTGGCTTCTGTGGCTTTTGGACTGTTGCACGTTTCCTGCCGTGCCTGGTATGACTGGTGGCAGGGGGTGGCAGGAGGCGTGCCACACACATCAAATGACAAACGAGTTGCCGCTGCATTATTGAATTAAACGTGAAGACGACACACGCACACAGCTGTATCTTGTATCTTGTATATGTCCAGAGTTTTGCGGGTATGTGTATCCGTACACTGAGAAAAAAAAACAGTATCAAAATTAAGCAGGAAGCTACTCATTTTCATACATTTCAGACCTTGGAGTATCTTAAGATTCATGCGCAAGTCCGAGATACAAGATACAAGATCGAATAAGTTTGTTGCCATTTTCGCTCAGTGCATCCGTCTGTGTGTGTGTGTGTGTGCGTATCCATATATT